GAAACAAAAAAACACCCCAATTACAAATCGATTTTAGAAACAAATTTTTTCTTGATCAAACAGGCCTACATTTAGTTCTCCTCCGCCCCCAACCTCTGCCATGAATTGGTATTCTTGTTTGTTTTTTAAATCCATGCCTTAACCTCCTGACCTTTAAATTTAAATCCAATTCAAAACCATTTGTTGAAGTGTCTCCTGTCGGCTCTTTTTTTATTGGAGCTAATAATGCATTTTGTCAGTAGGAGATATCACTCCAGGCCTGATCAATAGACGTCTGATGTGAGTCAGCTTCCTCCTTTGTTAAGCATCTCTCCAGTGCCTGCTAACCTTTTATCTGAATGCTGGAAGTGGGATTATTATTATTATTATTATTATTATTATTACTACTATTACTATTCATTTCTTACCTGTTTCTCTTCAAGCTTCTCCAGAAGACTGCAATTCCTGATTGGCCCTTCTGCAAAATTTAAAAGCAAAAGCAAAAACATATACATATATACATAATATCCAGGGCCGTAGCCAGAAAATTTTTTTGGGAGGGGTTGAAATTTTCGGGGGGGGGGGGGTTGAAGATTTCGCAGGGGGGTTGAAACCTGCCTCCTAGCTCACGCTGAAGCAAAGAGCACAGCAGGGGGCAGAGCAGCCTTCCATAGCCTGCAGCTCCGCCCTTGTCAACTACCTCCACCAAGTCTGGCCTCCTTAATGAGAGCATTCAACATCCCCCCCCCCCCCCCCAACTTGGTTGCTTCACTACTGTTCTGTCACATGCTGGGCCTGTAAATAATTGTCTTTAGAACAGGATGTGCAACCTTTGCCCAGTGGGAAGCCAGGGGTCCTAAAGAGAAGTTCTCAGAGGTTTCCACCACAAACAGTCTTTAGATGGCTTGAGAAGTACAACAAAGTCTTTTATTAATGAACAATCAAACAGAAACTTCTCTTGTCTTCAGTAAAGTTAAGCAAATGATTCCAAGCTTTTAGGCAACTGGTGAATTCCTAATCTTGCCCATGAAGGACAGGCAACTGTCTTCAATAACTTCTTCTTTAAAGGAAAATCCCCGATTTAACTTCTCCCAGGCTGACTGTAATCTAACCCTTACTGATGTGGGCTCCGCTACTGGGTTGAACTGCATCTCGAACGCCGAGTGGACCTACCAGTAAAGGCAGTGGATGTTCTCTAGCTGGAGTTCTTTGGTCTTTAGGGCTGTTTTCCTGGAAATTCTTTGGAGACTCTTAAGACCTTTCTCCCCCGGAAGGTCTTAAGGGGTTGAAGCTTTTGTACAGAGGAAGCTTGCACACATCGTATACATAAGCTTACCTTGCTGAGACTAACTAAAAATGGCCCCCTTCCCTTCCCAATTGCCCTGAGCAAGGGGCGGGACCAAAACTTAACAATGATGGACAGGTGACTTGCCCTATGACTGCAACCAAAGAAGCCACCTATCTGCAGAGTCCCTGAAACCTAGGAGTCTAAGCAAACGTTTAATACAAAGCAAATAAAGTTGGAGCTCCTGGTACAGCTGTACCAGAACAATTACATCGGCTATTGCTGCAAGTAATGACAGTGTGAATAAATTGCCAATATTTGCTTGAGATAGTGCTTGCAGTTCTGGAGGGACTCTTGATTTTTTACATCTCATAGACTTAGCAGCATGGGGATTGGGTTAACCGGTTAAAATTCATGGGTAAACCGGGGTTTTTTTTTTTAAAAAAATCTGAAACATTTCAGGGGGGGGCTGAACCCCTAACCCCCCCCCCCCCTCGCTACGGGCCTGATAATATCTATATATGGCAATGGAATATACTGCTTCAGCAATTGAATATGCTGCTGCATTGGAGCATGGTGGAATCTCCTTCTCTAGAGGCTGAATGGCCATCTTTCAGGAGGGGTTGTCTGGTGTCTTCCTGTAGGAGGAGAGAAGCTGTTTGGACTTGTGGAATCATCATCATCCTTATCACCATCAAAAATGAAATGCAAAGAGACAGAATTGGGGACAAGGCCTGGCTCGAGAGCAGTACGTGTGAAAAAGATCTTGAGTCCTCATGGACAACAAGTTAAACATGAGCCAGGAATGTGATG